TTGAAAATAGTCAATTATTAAGAATAAGGGGTAATTAATTAGGGCGGAGGTGGTGTAGTGGCAAGTGGCGCACTATGTCACACGCACGGTCAGGGGTTCGAACCCCGGATCGATGCCCGCCTAGGCCAACCAAGCCTTCCATCCATCCGGGGTCGGTCAATTGGTACCAGACTCGTCTGGGATGATAAAAGCACTGACTTATACATCGGCTGGCCACCACAAGTCACTGTATAGGCCACATAGGCTGCTTTCATAGTCCGCCACTACGTTTCCGAATGGAAGTCGAGGGGTGCGGGGGCGCATCCCTCAGACGGGATTGATCAACGCCAAAACTTTATCCTTTATCCTTTAAGATGTAACTAAGGGAGTTGAGAGTTGTACAGCCTCACTGTCAGAAGTGTGGGAGAGCTCTACCTGGTGGGGTAGCCAGCACCAGGGAGAACTTCGAAAGTATCGGGTAGAAATTGATGTAAAATAATTGCTCTGAAAGAGGAATAGGCCTTCCTCATAAAGGTGTAGAATGAAGCACCAAGACAATATTCATCCAAGCTGGCGGGTTATCTCACGCTCGAGTTCACCACATCGGTCATGTCCCATCCAAGAACCTAAGCAACAAGGCCTTGAGATTGCGGCAGTCTTCCCAATTATTAATACTTATAAACTTTAAAAATTGCAATCGCAAAGAGTGATTGAAAAAGGAGAAATCTGGAAAAGTTCAAGTAATGATCGAAGTACAGATAAACGAAATTGGTTACTAAAAAAGTAAAAAAGCTGTTAGAAGGTATTCAGGAGAGTTGCTGCTTTGATTTCAGCGCTTCGAGTTTTTAGGGTTCTAACCTCACTTCTTTCACCAGCTGGCTCTTTTTTGTTCGAAGATATAAAATCGGCTTCTTTCCCTTTTATGGTGAAAGGTCACTCTTCAATGATTATTGCGGTTGCGGGCGATGACCAGTCAATATCCCAGATAATATTTGTTCTTCTAGTCTACCTCTGGCTCAAATTAAACAGTCCAGGGGGAAAGCTCGAGGAACGGGCTATACCACGCGTGAACGTTTTCCAAGGGTAAAAACAAGATGTTAGGGATCAAAGAAATGCGAAGAGGATCAAATTGCTGGGCGGCATTGATCAATAGGTGAAACAGTATTGGTACTACTGGACCAGCCTCTACCAAACAAACAAACAACAAATAAATACAGTTTGTGGTTTCTGAAAAACAACAGCTGAATGCCTTCGATTTTAAGAGAATTTCGAGTACAGAGGCAGCCAGAGCGAGAAATTGGTCGGCGTCTGTGAAGATTGATCAAGCGATGACAACAAAGTGGATGGTATAAGGAGATTTCCACTTTCAAAAAGGGCCTTTGGATAGAACTGAAATGCATTAAAAACTTCATTTTTGCAAATATTTGCCATTGGAAAAGAAATAATTCAATAAATAAACATAGGAGTCAAAAACCTGTTATCAAAGAGCAAATTCAGAGCAATCAGAGATTTGTGTTCATGGCCATCGAAAGAGGTCATTGATAAAAAGGTGCGGAAAGGGTTATAAGAGGCCATATAAAATGGATCGAAGATGAGCCAGCCGAAGACAGTGTATCCAAGCGTGTCGACGGCAATTATGGCCAACGTCCGTCGGTCGGTCGGTTGCACTGTGGGGAGTTTTGAGGGGCGTGCGTCGGGAGAGACAAATTGCGCCTGTACTCTCCCCTCGTGGGGCAACGACCTTGTCACTGCAGCAGCAGGGGAGGCCGAGGTGACGATGGGAGAACATGTCCATACAGTCGATCAACGACCTCACCATGGTAAATATCGGGGAGTGATTAGGATGGCCCTAGGCCATGGACCAATTCAAGCCAACTAAAAAGTCAGCTGCCTCGCTTACAATCTCAATTTAAAAATCTGCTCCTGCCAGAATACGATCTTCCAGAAAATCTTAAGAAGCTCCTAAGATTTCTGGGAAGGTTTGGACAAATTTCGCTTTCTAAGGGGATGTCGGGCCCTGAAAAGCGGAAAAGCTAGGGGAGGATTAATGAAGAATGAAAACAGGCTTCTTGTAGGCATAGCGGGTATTGTGATGCGATGCTCCCATTAGTTATCATTGTCACACTAATGCACCACTGACTACAATGAATGAAGAAGAATGGGGAGGTTCGTGAAGCTGACACAAGTGTGATCAACAAATTAAAGTCTCCCATCTGAGTAAGCCTGTCGTGAGTTGGCATTCTACAACGTGATTGAAGGGATAGATGGATTTTGACTCGAAAGGAAGGTTCTTCCCACAGGTGTGGCCTGAAAAGGAATTTCGAAGACACGGCGCAAGCCAGAGGCATCAGCTGTAGGGATCGGAATATTTCTCATAATCGGTTCCGATGCTAGACTGTAGCTCACTCAAGGGGGTTTCACTGCCCTACAGTAGAACTATCGGTGCCGAAAAGTCGTCAGCAGTACCACGATACTCGAGTAATCCAATTATCAAAGTTTTAAAAGGTTCCGATTGACACCTTCGTGAAGCGATCCGTTAGATAAAGACAAAAGCTAGATGTTTTGAAAAACTGAAGAAAAGGATTTTCACGTCGGCAAGTGAAAGCAAGAGAAAGCGGGCCGAAAGGACGTAACAGTGGGGGTACTCTCTTTCAATAAATGCCCATTAATTTTCATTCAACAACCGTCAAGCAATCATTGTCGTCTGAGCGACTGGCTGACTGATAAGCTTTTCTTCGCTATTCCCCTAGAGAACACCCAGTGGCATCATCGAAATCAGTCCCCCCACCAAAGAGAAATTCACGAGAAACGACGATCAATACCTGTGTGTAAACGAAGTCATTCCAAAGCTGTTGATCCCGAAATGCGGTCGCCGGAATAATTTTGACGGTCCCAAATGGGGCAAATGCCATGTCAGCGGTCACCTCACTTCATTTCCGTCATACCTGGAACAAGGGGAAATTTTCAATCTGCCATAACTTTCCTGAAAGTAAGAGTCTCAGCCAAAGATACGGGAGAAAGTGCGACGTGTTTTCTTACGGACGAAATAATAAAAAGCATTAATAAGGGTAACGTGACGAAAATGGCTTCCAGGCAATCAAAAAAAAAAGATGCAAAAGGCGAGAAAGATGAATTTAGAGGTCATTTTCCAGTCAACAAGCAAATTTTCTAGGACTTCTTCAGCTCAATCTTTGATTTAGCCATACAGTTTTACGGCATGGAGTGCGAAATTGATCAGATTTTTCGATTTCATGCTCACCTACTCGGCAATTTTACATCGGAAGGTAGAACCCTGCTCTCTCTCACCCATCGATAGAGGAGGTCGATCAACTGGAAGGCCTCCTTGAGGAAAGTTGTTCCCATATTTCTCTATTTCAAAAGCTTTTCAAGTGGTGAAATCGATCCCACTCGACTTCTACGCAAGAATACAATCAGTCAGAGATGGTTTCAATCCGGTTATGGTGAACACTACTATCAAAAAGACACAAGAACCATTTCCATATGGGACCAGTTGGGTTACGCCATGGAAGTCCTGGGTAGAGCAGGGTGGAGTGCTCTCTGTTGATTTTTACTCTAATAAAATGAATCTATATTTCTATATTCTTATATATTCATCTATATTTTTGAAATAGCGTGTTGCATGTATGCATGGATTGTGGAATTTCGATTGTTCTCATAATTTTCATTGTATTTTTTTTCTTGAGAACAAATCGGAAAGGAGTCCATAGAGGTTTCTGAACGTTTTTAGATCATCACTACCAAAAAGAAATGCATAACAATGAATGAATGGATGAAAAGCGCTTTCTGTACTGAGTAAGAAGGGGTGTGGTGCAATAGGAACGAAATTGTCGCGTTGCGGCGAGAGAGACGCCGCGCGTGAAGAAATGTAGCAGGATGTAGCTGCGAGTAAGAAATTCAGAAGCAAAAAAAAATGGTATAAAGAGGCAAAAGGTTCGCGTCAGCCGCGTGCGGCGGATCGATTACACAAAACCTTTCCTACTGCCCGCCTCCCAGTAGGAAGTTGCCGAGAAACTCGAGAAAATAGAAGACCCTGTGCTGTTGAATTCCCCACCTGCCTGTAACGTTCTCTCCATCTTTTCCTTAGAAGCTTTTTCCAGTCGGCACTGAAAAAGGGTTGAGGTAGACGAATGGCTTCACCTTTTTCAACCAATGGCTCAGGAACCAGCCATTCTAGTCCCACAATCCACAGACGGTAAATATTATGTTGTCTTAAGGTAGGGTCGTTTTCCATACCAAAAATTTTCTTCTTAAACTTGATTTTTTTACACCATTTCCAAGGGGAAATCCGCTGTCCTACAAAATGATGGGGCTCCGTTCATGCATATACCGTAAGTTGTTCAAATTCATAGCATGCAAACTGAGAGCTCCGGCAGACGAAATTCCGACAAACACACTTCAAACGTAAAATCAGCCGAAAATTTAATTAGATCTTAGTCAGGAGCTCTACAAAACACTTCGCGTTCAAGTTCTCCAACAGCTCGAGTCGTTTCATTTTGAAATCAAGTTTATCCACCCGGTATTTATCTGTCAACAATAGGGCTTCTTCGAGAGTGAAATTCCTTCTCTCAAGTCCTTGTTCTGACACTGATTGTATATCCGGAGGTGGTGTAGTGGCAAGTGGCGCACTATCTCACACGCATGGTAAGGGGTTCGAATCCCGGACCGATATCCGCCTAGGGCAACTGAGCCTTCCATCCCTCCGAGGTCGGTCAATTGGTACCAGACTCGTCTGGAAGGATAAAAGCACTAACTTGTACATCGGTTGGCCACCACAAGTCATTGTATAGCCCACATACGCACTCATTACGCCACTTCGATTCTGAATGAAAGTCGATGGGGAAGCGCATCCCTCAGACAGGATTGGTTACCGCCAGAAACTTTATTCGTAACTTTAGTTTGTGTATCCTTCAGAGGCGTTATTTTGCTATACTTGACTGCGAGTAGACGCCAACTAAGGGCTCCACCTTGATTGGTTTCACGGTTCAAGCTGCTAGTATGTCATGTTGACACGATTCGCCTCCATAGCCACAGAAACCGTTAACGATATCTGCGCTGTGCATGGAAAGAAGGGTGGATCGAGCCGCTCAGTAATGGTTGCGCACTTCGGAAGCGATGACTCCGAGCTTGATGACCAGAGTCCTTCTGAACAGCTGAAGAAGTCGACTATAGGCGACTGCAAGAGTTCGTCCTTAATGAGCCGTTCTAACTCCGTTCCGCGACATCGTCGTTGGATGGAAGAGATCTAAGTTTGGAGCTTGAGCCTTGAGCTTGCTCACGACAGGATTAAAGGCGCAGTTCACCA